GAGACTAGCCCAAACATTATATTTCCCCTTCCTTTTATTTGTCTTCAGCTTTTTTTTCTCGGAAGCCCATCAGCATCACTTGATATCTTCAAGTCGTTTTTATGCTCCAAAGATATATCTAATAACCTTTGTCAAGGAGAATATGGGTCCACAACAATAATATTCAAAAATAAACTGAAAAGTGTGCATTATGAACATATTTTATAAACAATGCCTAGAATGCAAATATGATCATTTAAGTGTAAAAATGCACTTTTTAATGCCCGAAAATACTGACTAATGGCTCTGTTAAGGTACCTCATGGTACTTTTAACGGTACGAGGTACCGGCCCTATGGTATCAGGGTACCGTCCTCACGGTACAGGGTACCGACCGAAACAGCCTTTGTACTCACCCGGTAGGCCTGTCACAGTAGCCACTACCGACTCGGCGGTAGGGCCTACCGTCCATGCATTACGCAAGTACCATTATGTCATAGGTACCGGCAGAGGAGGGTGGAAAACACATAGGGTGGCGGTAGCACTGTACCGTCCCGGTGGTACTACCTTACCATTGATCGCGACAAATTTCAGCTTCCGCACTAGCTTCATTTCCCACGTCAAACCAACACCAATTTCATAACAATTAACATCAATATGTTCATAATAACACTCTTAACATTATCTAACATCATTCTAACCTTACCTATTCTGATTCATGCTTTTCAAATCACAAAAAATGTAAACGACACATGATTCACGTAGGGTTCATATAACTCAACCGTAACGATTCTACGAACGTAAGATTCAAACCTACGAATATAATCATACGTTAGTTATCCATGCACTTAACTCGACTACGATGTTTAGAAACTACGACGACAATACCACGAGTAGGGAACGTGACGACGAACTCCTTCTTCTTCTTTTTCATTCTTTTCCTCTTCTTTTCTTCCTCTTTTCTTCTTCGGTTCCTCATTGCTGCTGCTGTTTCCGTTCTTCTGCTGATCTTCCGGCCGAAAGAGAGAAACAAGAGAGATGTGAGGCGAGGGAGTTGCGTAAATATGGAGTGGCGTGAGGGTTTAGGCGTGTAGGGAGTTTATTTATATGTTTGGGGTTTTGGCCACTGTATTTAATTAATGTACTCTTACGTACCTAGCCTAAAATGCACTTTTTGGGCCCACAGGCTCCAAATACGAATCCGTTTGCACTGTTGTATTTGTTCCGTTGAACCCTACAGAACAGTATTAACCTTTTGGTCAAACAAAGAATATTTCATAATTACACCGAGTCTGTACCATTAATTAATTAATTATTTTTTTAAATTAATTAATCTTGATAGACTGGGTTTCGGGGCGTTACACCTCCAATCGCGGTGGCGATAGTGAAAGGCGCACACACCTATGGTGCCGATCGTTCATCTGGGACATCATGCTTGCATGTATTATACTGCATAACATGATAGTTGAAGACGAGGGAACCGATATCACTTGGCTTGAAGATGAGGGGGTCGCATCAACTTTGAGGGCCACAGTTCACCAAGGCCCATCGATTCAAGGGCCACCTCCCGAATTACAAGATTTTGCAAATCGACTTGCAAGTATGCGAAATGAACGAAGCCATACTACCCTCCAAGATGATTTGATTAAAGAAATCTGGATGCGCAACAATACTTAATTGTAGAATTAATTTAAAGAATTTCATCTAATTTTTATTGTTTTTCGTTTTTTAATTTTAATTATATTTTGGTGTATTTCATCTTTTATATCGATGTTGTTTTAATAAAGAATGTCAACGTTAGCATTTTTATTTTAATTATATGTATTTTTTAAAAAAAAATATAGTTAAAAATAATGAATAATGTAAAAATCATGGAGAGACGAGTTTTCATGGCGATATCATTGCAGGATTTTGAGACGAAGTGAAAAAGTTAGTGGAATACTAATGTGGCAGGATTAATTTAGGGCAGGGCGGATTTGTTATTGTTGTAAATGATCAATAGAGAAAATGTAGGTCTCAAACCCGAATATCCCTTCTTCCCCCTCCAGCCGAACTGCTCATCTCTCCTATTTCCTTAATCTTTCCTTTCTTCTCTTTGGAGCTCGAAGGTGCTCTAAATCCTTTTTTATCTCGATATGATACTGTATCATCTACACACTTTGATCATAAATTATGTTAAAAGTATATTTAGTTATACAAAATAGTTCTTTTGACCCTTGAATCTCGGGTCATATTATGATCTGGACCCTACGATGATCTGTTCGTAAAATTGATGGTTCATATCCCTCTAACCTCCCTAAATCCTACCCCTGCTCCCTACATGCTCACCCCAAAACCCAGCACCCCCTTGCCCGTCCTCCCCATTTTGCTGATTGACTACCGTATTACATTAAAATGTAACTTTGATATATCAAATTTTATACTTCTTCCGTCCCACTCTCTTTGTCCACTTACTTTTTGGCACACCATCCAATGCACTTCTTTAATCCATTTTATCTTATAATTTGTATATTATAAAATTATAGAAATTATATATTAATAATCTATATGTTAAGACAAATCAAACAAGATCACACATGACTATATTTAGGCTTACACATTGAGAGAATTTGATCAGTCAAAGTGCTTAGATGAACAGTTTCAAAAGTCAAAAGTGGACAAAGAGAGTGGGACGGAGGTAGTAATATTTACCCACTTCAAACTAGATTTATAAATGGTCAAAGTTTATAGCAATTATATTTGTCCAAAAAAATCGGTTTTTTCTGGAAGAGTATCAGTAAAATATGATATTACCTCCGTCCCCCTAAGATGTTCTCATTTTGACTTTTGGTGGTTTTTAAGGAGAGTTGAAAAAAGGTGAAAGTTTACCATATATAATACCCTTAATGAAAATGGGTGGAGTGTATTAAATGAGGTGGGTGAGGTGTAATAAATAAAGTAAGTGAAGGTAGTTGTGGTATTTTAATTGTTAAAAAATGAAATGAGAAGATCTATTGTAGACAAAGAAAAAGGACTATTGGGAAGATCTATAAGAAGGAGGGAGTAAATCGTATGGTAAAAAAATCAATCGTGGGTGGAGTATATGCTTGTGGGTAATAAAATAGTCAAAGTGTATTCATGTGGACTTGTTTGACAGAATTATTGAAGGCGGTGCAGAGGAAGTTATTAGGTTGTGAAACAAAACAAATTTCGAATTTGTTTCTGTTTCTACTGGGTGCACCAGAATATTCATGTGTGCATTATTATCATTCAAATTTCAAATATTATGCTCCCTTTATCTCTAAATATTTACCACATTTTGAAAAATAAGATAAAATATTAACTTTCTTTAATTCATATTATTCAAATATTATTATAGAAATAAAAATAAAATTTACATATTTAAAAATTACGTGAAAAATTTTCAAAATAAAAAGTGTTAAAAATATTTTATTTTATCAAATAATCAATGAAAAGGAAAATGTGACAAATATTTTGAGAGCGAGTAATTAGATTCTTCTTATCTGTCACATTAGGTACAAAATCTCAATTGGACATTTACTTTCTGTCCGTATTTTCTTAAAATAAACATTAATTTATCATCAACCCAAATTTGAAACAATCACTGATTTAATGGTTAATAATGCAATGGTCACTTCAATTCCTACTTCAGAAGTGTTTGTTGGGAGACTCAGCTCTGTCGTGGCCGAAGGGCAAAGGATTCCAGGCTGTTGTGGTGGTTGATGTCATCGTATTTTGGTTCTTTAGTTTCTCACTGTAAACCCTTTTTGGCTAACTTTTTGGTTTAGTCTTTCTCTGATAAAAGTATACATATTAACTTTGTTCCAATTTGATTATAAATTGGGATTTACGAAGAAAAATACCTCATTTTTTAAAATGGGGAGAGAAATTGTATTTTACTTAATTAATACTTTTCTTACTACAAGTAGAGGTGTACTGGTGTACGTATGCCAATTCGTCAACTTACTGCAACTTTTTTTTCAAATACAATACTCCACCCGTCTCAAATTGTATGTAACATTTCGAAAGTCGTGCAAAGCATCATATCGCTTAAAATCATTTTATTTACAAATTAGTAGAAAAAAAAGAATTACACCCTTTAGAAGTTCAACAAAAATTTTATAAAACAAAATGTGACAAAAATATTTTATTTTATCAAATGATCAACCAAAACGAGTAAACAAACAAAATTTATATATCGAGAGACGGAAATCATAATCGTGGCATTCTTTTTGGGACGGGGGAGTATTTCACTAAAATTAATGGTGAAATTTCCAATAAAAAAATAATTTTTTCAATAATTGACTTCAAAAATATAATATGAATTACCCTAGCTTTATTACAGCGTGTATGTTCTCTTTATCTGATTTGATTGTATTAAATTTTGATCTGATTTGAATGTAGTTATATTTAAAATTATTTCTGATACAATCTAGTCTGATCTAATCTGAATATGAAATATGCAATAAGAATAGAAATATTTGCAATAAATAGCACTAAAACTTAAGTCATTTCCCTAAATAGCACTTAAACTGTTTTATTCCCTAAATAACACTTCATAATGTCCAGTAATGACGAATATTTGCTTGAATAATGACTAATGCATAATGACTAAAAGTGTTACATTAGAAAGAAAAACACATGTGGTGCTATTTAGGGAAAGATTATGTTTTAGTGCTATTTAAAAAAATTTCTCAATAAGAATAAGTTAAAGAAAAGAAACTCTTAATTTATTTCTTCTACAATGTCATTGGATTCAATAGTTAGTAGAGCCCATATATGGTTTTATATATGGTAGAGTCAACATTAAGAATATTTTAGTTATCAAACCTTACTTTTATGTGAAATTTGCACTAAATAAGACTAAAATATAATGATTTTCCTAATGTAGGACTTAAACTTTTTTATTCCCTAAATAGGACTTAATAATGACCTAGTGGGAGGAATAATGTCCAGTAATGATGGACATTTACTTGAATAATGACTACTTGATAATGACCAAAGGTCCTACATTGGGAAATAAAAACATATGGTCCTATATTGGGAAAGTCATTATGTTTTAGTCCTATTTAGGTAAATTTCTCTACTTTTATATCATTGTAACAGTTCAAGTAGACATCATTTTTATAAATCACTCAAGAAAAATATTGGTTCACAATAGTGATGCACTGCCCAAGTGCAATTTAAAAAATAAAAGTAACATAAATAAATAAATAAAAATAGTGATGGATGAAGCTAACTAATTAAGCAACGTAGTACATGGGATCGGGCATCTTGAAAGTGCGGAAACCAACATTTTCACCCACCAAATCACTCCATTGGTCTCCAATGTTCCCCACGATTCTATACCCTTTCTTCACCAGCTCCGTCCTCTTCCTCGTCTTGTATTCCACCACTGCCCCACCCGTCTCGTTTCTTTCCCTGCATGCATGCATTTATTTCCCGCCATTTTTATTTAATCGACCATTCGTCACGCTAGTTTGAAATAAATGTCGATCGATCAGTAATATACTCCCTCCGTCCCTGAAAACCCCTCTTTTTTCTTTTTTTATCCGTCTCAAAAAACAGTTCTCATTTCTATTAAAAAGTCACTTTTATCCCTTACTCTTTCATACTCTACCTCTTACATCATACCTTTTTACTAATAATCTACCCATCAAATTTTATTTTTACCCATCACATCAAAGAACTTTTTTAGAAATTCAATACCAAAATACACTTTCATTAAATCTCTTAAAAATTGAAAATTTCCATGTTTTTAGGACCGGAGGGAGTATATATATACATACCTTAGGATGAGGGACTCCCAGATTCTGAAACCAGCTTGATGAAGATTCAAAACCCTGGCTGGCCGGAGTTCTTCTTTGGTGGCGGAGATGAAGACCGCCTTGATCCCCATCGACAGAACCCTCCGGTAAATCCGCAGTGTCTCCGGCATTGCCGGCGCTTTTGCTTCTTTTATCCACTCCTCGAACTTTGTCTCGTTGTATGCCTTTGCTCTTGATAATATATATGATCACAAATATAATTCACAGTCCAATAGTTAACGAACAGCACCGTATCCAATCCAATAAACATGTCTACACTCATTTTGTAATGTATCAAGAAACACATAACGGTCACTTAACGACGGTATTTAATTTAATAGAACTAGTAAATCGGTCGATCAGGCCAAGATCGGATTCGGATATGTTCGGATTCGAGTTTGGAAATGCATGCTCATGACCTAGTGCCATCGTCTTTAGATCGAGAGAATGGGGTACAAGCTTTATTTTTTGAATACTTAAATTGACACTAGCATTTATATTTACTTCAAAAATAACAAAACGTCAAAATAGATACAGAGTATATTAAAGCCATCAAAATTATTTATTTTCAGTTTTAAATAAAATTTTAGATATATATAGCAATATTTTAAATAATATAAGTAAGCTTCTTTAACTTTTTAAAAAAGTGAGATAGCAATTAGCAATACAACATCAATAAAAATGCATTTAGAAAAAAAATTATTTTAAAAAGGAGTAATAAGAAAGAAAATAATACTCGGGTATGACAACACTAGTTTTATGTTATTATATTTCGAATTAAAGTACATCATATATGATTTTGAAACAAAATTACTTTAGCGGGTCTATCAAGTCAAATTTGGATTCAATCAGGTTTGACCAATTTTTAATATGTTATTTCGGGTTCAGTCATCTTCGATTTTGCTCAATAAAAACTTTATTCAAAAGCGACCAATACTTTTACGTCAGGTCTCGCCTAGACCTAATCAAAGTGCGGCCAGGGCGAGCCAAGCCACTATCTTATGAGAATTTTCAACCCGAAGACCGACCCATATAACGGGCCTAACAATTAAAACCCTACCCCGGCCCACATGAGTACCCATGGGCTTCGGGCTGGCCAGTCGACACGGGCAAGAGCTTCAAAATATTTAAAAATAATTTTTTAATAAAGTAATGTAATAATATATCCGATATTTGATAAATTAACTATAATGAGCATATCAAGGCTAAGAACAACGACTAATATAGAAAATCTATTTTATTTGAAAATATTTTTATTATTTATTTGAATATCATTATCAATGTGTGATACAGAGTGAAAAAGATGTATTTTTATTTTTAGTATTGTACTCATTTTATTGAATATATTTATAATTCTCTCTTTTTCTTCATAAAAGTATATGTGTGTGTTTATAATAATTTGAAATAGTATTATTATTTTTTATTATTAATATTAGTGTTGTTGTTATTATTGTTTTATTATAATTATTGTAATAATAAATGTTATTATTCATTTGAGCCAGGCCGGCTCGTGGGCTGTAGCATAAAACCCAAGCCCGATCCTAAAGTATACGGGTTGTCGTTTATAAAGCTCGAGCCCGGCCTGTACCCTGAAATATGAAACCTAAGCCCGTTATTTTGCGGGTGGACCGAATACTCGAGCGCATGATCGGGTCTCACTCTAGGATCAGAAATAAGTCTGGTCAATTTTTGTCCGTTAGTTTTTAAAAATAAAATGGCAATATGTCATTTACTACATACTCTCTCCGTCCCTAAAAAGTTGGCACAGTTTGATGTTTTTGATCAAACTGTGACACACCTTTGACCACAAATTAAATATAGGTTAAAATAATTAAATATTATATAAATTTAATATTTCAAAATTATATTTTAAAATAAGCACAATTTTACTAAATTTACATTATAACTAAAAATATTTTTTCCATAATTTACGATCAAAAAGTGTATCAGTTTGACCAAAAAAATTAACACAATCATTTAGGGAGAGAGAGTACTTAATTACATACCCGAACCCAACATCTGCTCGGGCATAATAAGGGAGATTAGAGAGAGCGGTCTCGTCAATATCAAACACCCAAACATCCTTGCCGTCCTTATTAACATGGCGCAACCCTGCCAAGTACCGCAATGCGGCGGCAGCCACGGCGGCGCAGTCATTGTGGTACTGCCGGCCGAGCATGTAGTGGCCGACATAGCCTTGGCACAACCGCGGGACCATGTGCCAGTCCCTTATGTTGTTGGTCTCCACGCCGAGCCGCCAGCTGAGGCAGTTGATGAAGGGGATGTGCCGGCCGGCGGCCCCAGTCCTGTGGCGGAGAAGGTGGACGTTGTATGGCGGGCGGCGATGATGTTGTGGGTGCGTTGAATTTGTGGCCGCCGCCGCAGCAGCTGCTAGGAGTGAAACAAGGAGAAGTCGTACGATGGTCGCCGCCATGTTGTCCGCCGCCTGTCCTAATTAATTACGTAGGTTGAGTTGAAGCTAGCTTAATTCATTTCATGCAAATTGATTAATTGTTTGGTTATTATATAAGTATAATAAAATGGAATATAAGCCCAACCATTTTAAACTAACCTTCTTTCTTCTTGCCACGATTCTTGGGTGGGTGTAATAATCCGTCGTACGTAAATATTATTGGACCCCATTCTTCTTCTACCTCTTTATAGGCGGTTTGTTGAATAATTTTTTGTAATGTGACCTAAATAAAGACAAACTATTTGAGAGCATTCATAAAAATTTAGGAATAATTTTATAAATAATTTGATCAAAACAAAGAAACAAAAAGAAAACAAGTTTACAAATACTCCATTTGTCACATTTTAAAAACCTCTCAATTTCACTATCACGTAGCTAAAAAATGTTGAAAAATGAAAAGGACGTGATTAAAATTAGTTAAGTAAAGAAACTTTCATATCCGCAAATGTTTTTTTACTAAAAGGCAAGTGAAATTTTTTAGACATACAAAAGAAAAGAAAAGTGATACTCCGTGTGTTTTTTTTGGGACATTGGGAGTACAAACAAATTTAGAAATCAGATTACTCCGTATAAGCAATACACATATTATCAACTCTCTTATATGTTAAATATATATAGTAGTTTATAAATATGATATACTTCTCTTCCATTTTTTTCTTTTTAAAATTGTTTCATATCGCTCTTTTCTTTTAATTTCTTATTTGGCAAACAAATAATAACTCTGTTCTAGTGTATTCGTTAAGTTTGATTTTTTCAAGTTAAACTAGATGAACTTTTGAGCTCAATTAAATAAAAATTGTAATGTGTATTAGTATAAAAATGAATTCGTTATATTTATCTTGTTGAAAACTTTCAAAATTTGATTTTATTGTATTAATATGTAATATAAATTGAGAATAAGGCTAAAATCCATCATTGGTCCTTCAACTTTATCAGTTGTGCACGATTGGTCCTTCAACAGTTCAACTTTCAAAAGTCCATAAATAGTCCTTCAACTTTATGAGTTCTGCACAATTGGTCCTTCAAGTTTCAAAAGTCCATAAGTAGTCCTTCAGGTACACATCAGCCCTCCAGATGAAGTCCTTTTGACAATAAATATTAAAAGTTAAACGAAATACTAGTTTCATATATAATACGAGTAAATTCCACTAGATACGACTACTCCGTATTATATGGATCACATCCTATTTCTACCATCACATTTAAGGACAAAATTTTAAAATCAAAAGGCGAGTGCGTTTTTGAAACGGATCCATGGTGTATGTTTTAGCAAAATCAATAGAAAGCAATGAAACGAAAGCAAAATTAAGAAGTGTAAAATTTTAAACAAATAAATAAATTTAAGAAGTACGGAGTATAAAATTTCAAACAAAAAAACATAAAAGTACAAAAAAACAAAAAGGCAAAAGTGAAAACCAAAAGAAAAAAACAAAGAAAGACCGAATGAAACGAAAGCAAAAGGAAAAAAATTTAAAAGAAAGAACAAAGGAGAACTAGAAAGTAAAGAAAATTAAAATATGGAGTAGAAAAAAAATAGGTGTGATCACCTGGGCATCGGTGTTCCACGGCACCACACAACTAATGTGGCATGCAAGCTCGTAATCACGACACCCATCACGGTTCCACACCAATTGACCTTAGGCTCCCTTTGAAAAACTTGAAAATGACTTCGGGAAATTGAGTTATTTTTCGGAAGTCATTTTTCTTTTCGGATGTTTGTTGAAAGTGAAAAACTTAGGTAACATAATTCTTCATAAAAAAATTAGAGGGCATTTTATTCTCGAACTGGTGATTTAAGTAAACTTTCAGTGCTCTAAGGTGATTTAGGCCATGTTCTTTCTCTTCACCTGATTTGATTGGTTCTGATATGATTGGATTAAGTTTTGATTTGATCCAATCTGATTTGGTCTGATCTGATCTGGTTTGAATGTATATAGTTATATTTAAAGCTATTTCTGCTTTTATCTGATCAGATCTAATCTGGTCTGATCTGACATGATTCCAATAAGAACAAGTAATAAGTACAAAAAATAATTTAGGGAGAACATGACCTTTGTACATCTTAGTGTTCGCACTATGATTTTGTAATTCATACACTAGCAATTTAGGTGCGCCTATGCCATAGGCATCATTTCCCATTAAAATTTAAATAATACATTTAAGATTTTGGTGAAGAAATCTTAGAACTAAAAGATGAGAAGAATGAGATGAAGAAGATAAGAGATCTCATTAATAGGGGTTAGAGTTGACCTCTCCTCCCAAGTGATTGAAAAAAGTGTATATCAAATAAAATGTGAAATGAGCCCTAATATAACTAGCCCTAACAAAGTTAGTAAGTTTAAGAACAATTGGGTGGTAGCCCAACACACTCTATCCAAATAAATAGTTAATCATACAACATAAATGAAGGTGATGGTGATGAGCTTACCAGCATACAAGGATGAGCTCGGGAGTGAAGAGACCGAGTTCGAATAAGGTACGACCGAGCTCTGGTAGGATGAGGCCGAGTTCAGGCCCTTGCTTTTGCTACTCACCTGCTTATGGGTCTCGCTGCGGACTATCAATGGATCGGGTCTAGATCTAAAATAGATAATGCCCGCAATTTTTAGCGGGGTTGGTTCTATAAAAAAATACCGTTTACGCGTACCCGCATCCGTGTCCGTGTTTTAATTAAAATAAAGGGTCAGGTTTAGAGCAAGTTTATATCCTACAAATTAATGTCTCTTCAGACTCCGGTAGTCCAGTGTGCGATGTACACCTCCTGTACCCTTTTTTTGCCTTTCTATTATTCTCTTTTTATAAATTAATAAGTTAATAAAAGAACCCTATACTGGTGAATATTATCACTTGTTAGTAACATATTAGTCTTATTTTTGTTTTTATTCAACTAAGATGTTCTTTATTTGTGGTATTTTCACTAATTTGTTTTATCAATTATACAAACATAAATAACTTTATTAGCTTTTATCACGGGGGTACCCGATCCAATACCGAGACGCAATGAGTCCAAATCTAGTACAAATCTCAAGATCTATCAGATAAGCGGGTACAGGCCAGGATCAAAGTCACGTTTATGGAACACTATGAACTCGCCTGATCTTGACCCAATAACCGGCCTAGTCATGCATGCTTCTTTTAGGTCCATAAATCATAGACCTGTTAGAAATAAAGATTATATGAATATTGTCATGAACAAAACGATAGAACAAAGTGCAATGAAGATATACCTTGATAACACAAATGCAAGGACAAAGTGCAATGGAGAACCAAAGGAGAAGAAATGCAATGAGAGAGTAAAGAGATGGATAGATCATTTCATTATATGGAGCCTCTATATATAGACTTTCAAAGGGGAAAATCGGAGGTCTAACTTAGACATGGAGAACATCAAAAGACATTTGTACATAACACTCCCCCTTGGATTTTGGATGTTCACCATTTAGGTAGACTGGAGCTTAAGACACTGCCTCGTTAAAACCTTGCCAAGAAAAACCCAATGGGACAAAAACTTGGACGAAGGAAAAAGAGTACAGTGCTTATAATGCTCCCCCTGGACATGGCAAAAGATCCTTGAGTTGACGCATTCCAATACCATTGATCATCTTCCTAAATGTCGTAGTTGGCAATGCCTTTGTGAACAAATCCGCAAGGTTATTGCATGACTGTATCTGACGAACCTCAATGTCTCCACTTTTCTGAAGCTTGTGCGGATAGAAGAATTTTGGTGATATGTGCTTTGTCTTGTCGCTTTTGATGTAGCCACTTTTAATTTGTGCAATACAAGCAGCATTATCTTCATAGAGTAATGATGGAGCCTTATTCAAAGATAATCCAAAAGT